TAAAAAGTGGGCTGGGGATGTAGCTTGTTGCAAAGGCCTCAGGTTCAGTGCCCAATACAAAAGAAGGGAATGAAAGGAGGAGGGAAAGAAGGAAGGAAGGAAGGAAGAATGGAAGGAAGAAAGGGAAAAAGGAAGAGGAGAAAGGCTTTAATGGAAACAGAAAGCTGGGCTCACTCCTCTCACATTTCATCCTCTACGACACCCTCTAAGTGTGCCATACGCCACACACAGTGGTGAACACAGCCTTTGCCGATTCATTCATAAAGTAGCGTTCCTGAAAGCTTCTCTTAAGCTTGTCTCTTCAGAGAATCTCAAACTCAGCTGTCCTCACAGCTTATTTCTAAACAGCACATTCCTATTGCTCTTTCCTAATTTATGTTTTAGAAATTATCCATTGATGGCTTCCTAGAATCTGGTTCTCTTACGCTACCTGTCACCTGCAAACACTCAGAGTATTACTTTAATTCAAGATCCATTGCTCATTAAGTGCTTTTTTTTTCTTACAGAGCCAAGTTATGTAATATGATTTGCTTTCTTGTACAGCGCTTTGTTTTGTCTGGAGTTAATTTATCCCTTCATTTTTCATTTGCACATTTTGCCATGCATATTTTGTTTTTTGTTTGCTTGGTTTTGAGACAGGATCTCTCTGTACAGTTCAGGTTGGCCTTGAATTCAATGCAATCCTCCTGCCTCAGCCTCTTAAATTCTGGAGTTACAGGTGTGTACTCTCAGACTGTGTAGTATTTTTTTAATTGATTCCCTATGACGTCCCCCTTCTCTGAGTCCTGTTTTCCTTAGGGACTCTCCCTCTTGGAGTTCTCTACTTTCTCAGTGTGGATTGATTTCTTTCTCAGTCGGCTGCACAGTGCTGAGTCTGGGACCTCTCTCCAATACTCTTCCAGATGGATCTACTTTCCACTTTCTTCCAGATTCTATGGATCTGGTTCCTTGTGTGCTAGATTTTATCATGTGTAGTTTTTTTTTTTTTTTTTTTTTTTTTTTTTTTGGTACTTAGGATCAAATGCATGACCTTGCACTTGCCAGGTGCTTGTGCCGCTGAGCTAAACCCCTGACCTACATGTAGCATTTTTTTAAAAGGTACGTGGAACATACTTTTTATGTATGTTTGAAATGTTTAAATTTTGTTTTCATAATTGATTGATAGTTTGGCTAAACATAAAATCCTAAATTGAAAATAATTTTTTCTTTCTCTTCCCTCTGTGGATACTAATTGTATTTTTTTTAAAAAAGTCTTCCCCTTCTATTCACTGAATTCTGTTTTCATTTTTTGTTTTTTTGGGGTTTTTTTTTGGTCTTTTTCCTTTTTATCGGTACTGGGGATCGAACTCACAGCTGCCTGCCCAGGCAGACGCTTATGCTGCTGAGCTAAATCCCCAGCCCCTGAATTCTGTTTTCACCAGGCTCCGTTTTCTGTTTTTTCTATCTCTTGTTCTTGATAGAGGGTTTTTTTCACACCTAAGAAAACTAGTCAGCCTTGCTGAGGCTCTGGGATAGGGCTGAGATAACTGGATGGTACCCTAGTGTTGTTTCTGGGGTACCTTGGGTGTCAGCATATACTTTTCTTTCCTATAGGCTCACGGCTCACTGAACTTTCCAGAGACAAACTTCACCTATCTTTCCACCCTGGCCAGGGACTTGCAGATACCCAGCAAGCTCTCATGACCTGAGCTACGCCCAGTCCTTTTCACCTTTTGAGACATAAGCTCACTGGGTTACCCATGCTGGCCTTGAATTCTGGGCTCAAGCAATCTTCCTGCCTCGACCTCCCAAGTAACTGGGACCACAGTCACGTCCCAGGGCGTCAGCTCTGCCAATCTCATAGGAGAGGGGTAAACGTTTAGTGGCCAGCTCTGCTTGTGAGAAGACGGAGGCGGGGTCCCAGGTCATTCTCTGTATCGTTTTAATTAATCCCCTGGTTTTGAACCCTAATTCTCATCTTACTCCCTTCCAAGTCCCCATTCTGTCTGTAGCTCTACTGAACAGATAGGTGCAACATCAACCGTTTGGCTCTGACCCAGATCAGCTTATTGTAGTTATCTGATCCTGCTGGCCCCTTGTGCAGGACAGCTGAGCGCCTGGTTCTGTGGCTCACTGTGGACTGAGCCTACGTCCTGACTCTCCTCCCCCTTACTAACTGTGTGACCTCAGGCAACTTCCACTTCCTGACCTAACAAATTAAGATACTAAGTAAAAACCGCTTCAGCGTGGTGTGGGGATTATAACTATGTAGTCAGAGAGCACTGGTCCCGGCACCGGGAAAGGCTCGGTTAGTGGTAGTCAGAGTCATTACCCAGGCTGACCCTCCAGGTTGATTTATGAAGTTTCTTCTAGTACTAAGCATCCTCGACAATCCCATGCCTGCAATGTTAATTTCTGGAACCACTAGACTGACTGATAAAATCAACCCAGTGAGTCTCTCAGATGACTGCTGCATGGCACGTACGCATGGCTTCCTTGCTCCGCTTCCTCCAGAGTCCACCCTGGCCCACAGCAGGGATCAGAAGAGTTTGCTCCCTGCGTGGTACAAGTTTATGGATCACAAACCTGCTCTGGAAAGGCGTGTTTAAAGCAGATGTGAATCACAGCCTTGGGCTGTTTCTTTGCCTTGAAACATTTTCCATGACATTATCTTTTTCATTTTTTTTAAAGGATAAGTTGTTCCAAATCAGTAAATCACTTTTATTTATAAAATTAAATGGATGAGATGATATCAGAGAAAAATGGCAGAGTGAGGACCTTAAAAAAACAAAAACCATATACAGAACCCAAAACCTTTCCCACAAAAGCAATGGAAACACGGGCAAAAGTATCGGTGTCAGCCTCAGCTGGCTTGTGCCATCACACACCAGGGTGCTTGTCTTGCTGGATGCTGGCCTGAACTGAAAGGACAGTTTTAACTGAGTTGTTCTTTTCTAACGGTAAACAAGAGTATTTCAAAGAGAACACCATGTCACCGAGTGCAGGGGAACCTGGGGTCTCCACTGCTGCCAAAGCCAGTGGGCAGAAGTGTTTCTCTCTCTTCCTCTGGCATAACCCCCTTTGGACATTCACCTCCCACATATGCAGGGGCATAGAGAGCCAGAAGAGATGATAGCCCACAAGAGATGCTGACATATTGGGAAGCTATGAAGCTGTGTGGAGGAATTATCTGCTCTAGCAGGCTGGGGAAAAGGGCTCAAGTGCCTAAGGAGGGCTTCTCCATGAGAAACGGGTTGACCGGCTCCGTAGAACCTAAGAAAGCTTCAGGCAGAGGCACCTGGAGAAGAGAGGCTGTCAGCAGAAGGGCTCGGGGGACGCTTTCACCCCAGGTCCCACCCCACCTCGCACACTTCCAATTCAAGACAGGGACCTTGGTGTCGGAAGGCAGCTCAGACCTGGACTCAGAGCCCCAGGCCTGGTGAGGACAGGGGTCTTTACGGTCCACTGGACTCCTGTGAGCTCCTCTGTGCTGACTGTGAGACCCTCGTGCAGACCCTACTACAGGGACATGAAGTGGATTTCAAAACCTCCCTGGGGTGTGGACCCCTTGAGAGTCTGTTCTGTGCCCCAACCCATCCTCAGCTTATAGTTCACTCCCTGGAAACCCGGGTCAAAGAAGGAGCCGCTGCCAAGCTTGCAGGAGGAAGACAGAACATACCAGGAGCTCCATCTCCAAGAGACAAAAAATAAAAGCCATGGATGTATTTGACCGTTACCAAGAATTTATAGTTCCCTTTAGAAGGTGAGGTCCCTAACAAACTAAGCAAACCAAAAGTAAAGCAGTTAATAACTCCAAGAAGATGGAAAATGCAAGAAACTTACTTGCAATACACTATGTGGCTGGATGAGGGCAAAATTAAAATACACCAAGCATTATATCCTTACCCCAGGGAGCGAACTCATGACCTCATCAAGCGCTCTACAGTGAGGTTGAGAAGTGTGATGTATCTGTTGAAGAGTGGGGGGAGGGTTTATGTGGTGGAGATTTGAGAGCTATGGGTTCATTTTCCATACATGGAATTAATGCCTACATTTGAAAAAAATAAAATAGTAGTGATAGAAGCCTGTTGTTTGGAAATATGGATGAAAACACCAGAGAACTGGCTGAACTGGTTAAAAGTGATTGTCAGCAAGGAAATGGATTATGGGAGTGCGGAGATGCAGAGGGGGCCCTGCCATGGTTTACAGCACCAACTGGTGTTGAACCGTGGACCAGTACTGTTTCAGTGAGAAGAAAACACGTTCAGAAAGCATGTTTCTCAGCCTGACGGTCAGACACTGATATTGCACAAAAAAGACTTCTGTTTTTAAAAAAATTTTTTTGGTCTTTTTTTCAAGCCCCGGTACCGGGGCTTGAACTCAGACTGCCTGCTTGCAAGGCAGGTACTTAGGCAGTTGAGCTAAATCCCCAGCCCCTCAGAAAAGACTTCTTTAAAAAATAATTTTTTACAAATAATAATATGTGTATCATGCATATGTTGGAAAATAGCCAAATCAACTGAATTAATATTTGTATTGCCTCACATGTGCTGATGATTTCAACAGTATGGTCAGTTATTAATAATAGTCACCGTGTTATACAGGAAATTTCTTGATTAAAGAAGTTAAGGAGTCAGACATTTCTTCTGTAACATGACACAAATGGGTTATTTACTTGGAAATTCTGAGTGTATCTTCAGATATATTTTAAGGATATCTTAAATCAAGTGCATTAACCATTTATAACTTACCAGTGTCATGGCCAAAAGGAGGTCTCAAAAAGACATATTTATATATATATATTTGTGTGTGTGTGTGTGTGTTTTGTTGCAACATGGTCTTATTATGCAGTTCTGGATGGCCTTGAGCTCACTTTGTAGCCCAGGCTGGTCTCGAACTCCCAATCATCCTCCTGCCTCAGCCTCCCGAGTGCTGGGATTAAGGGCATGCACCACCATGCCCAGTACTATGTATTTTAACCACCACATTCATCATGAGTTAACTAGCAACATTATACTTACAGGAATGAAATAGGTGGTTGGAAATCTTTGAACTGCAGAACGAAATACAAAGTCCCTAAAATATTAAAAAAAATAAATAAAACTGATTTTCCTAATATATTTTTAAAGTGAAGATCTTTGTTATCTTTCTCTCTCCTGTTACACATTTTAAAATGCTGGCTAGCAGGTGCCTAAATGAGGTTTGAAAGCCATAAGTATTGATATATAAATACATACATACATACATAGGAAGGCCTAAATGAGATGATTAAAAGTAACTTTTTCTTTTGGGGTGCCTGGAATGGAATCCAGGATGCTAGGCAAGTTCTCTACCACTGAGCTACACTCCCAGCCCTTTTTATTGTTTATTTTGAGACAGAGTCTCATGAACTTGCCCAGAAGAGGCTGTTAAACTTGTGATCCTCCTACCTCAGTCTCCCAAGTAGCTGGGATTACAGGCATGTGCCACTGTGCCCAGGTAGAAGTAACTTAACTAATAAGTATTTACTTACTTGGCGGTATACTTGGGAACTGGTTTAGGAAGAACTTCATACTGCCCTGGGGAAAGCCGCAGCGTCTACACAGAAGAACAAGGGTAAAGCAATAAATCAGTACAGGTCATAAACTCACTGTGTTATCTACCATTCATAATCCTAGGTAAGGCTGCACAACATCACTTGTACATTATTTTGTGTACTTTAATAGTAAGAAATGGTCACTTTCAAAGGTGGAGCATCAAAACAGTCAGCATGTATTAATTTTTCATAGTGAATTTTATAGACAATATGCCTGAAATGCTGCACGGGAAAGTGCTAGTTGATCACGTTCTTTTTCCAGTTCTGGGGATTCAACTCAGAACTTTTATACCAAACTACACCCTTTATAAAATTCTGAAACAGAGTCTTGTTAAACTGCTAAATTGACCAGCCTGAGTGGGCTCTAATCTGTGATACTCCTGCCTCAGCCTTCTAGGGAATGATAGACACGCACCACCACACTCAGCTAATGGATTACATTTTGAATTTAGGGGCTAGATCTGGGTCCTAGCATAGAACTGGTGGTGGGGAATACAGCAGAGGGGCGACATGGTGCCTGATCAGCCCAAGTGAAGCCACACGCAGAATCAATCCCAACAGGAACGGTGGTGGCAGTGCTAACACAAAGTAAAAATAAAGGAAGTCAGGTAAACAATAAAGACAATAAAGACCCCAAGATGTGAGGGAGGCGCTCAAAAAGGGAGGTCTCGGGGAGGCAGCCAGGGAGGGTGTTCCAAGATGGGAGAGTCTTCCAGGAGACTCTGTCTCTGCTCATTTTGGAACTTGCTGCACATTTTCTGGGGTGCTCTGAGCCCAGAGCCATGAGAAGCAGGGGAGTCAGGAATGGAAGGTGAGGAGGAGGCCCTGTGCAGGGAAGAGGAGGGGGAAGGATGGAAAAGGAGAGGGGAGGGGGAGGGGAGGGGGAGGGGAGGGGGAGGAGAGGGGAGGGGGGAGGGAGATGGGTTGCAGCAGAGGATACCAGAAGGCTGCTTCCTCCAGGGAGTCAGCTTCCTCTGCTTCCCGGTCTTCCTCACCCCTGAGACCCTGGGAAAGGTACTGCCTTGGTGGAAAATGAAGCATCCCTGTCCCTCACATGGAGGTTTGCTTTACAGTTTACCCAGCTGCCACCTCTCCCATGCTAACACAGTTTTGATCACAGAGGCAGCTTTCTGCGGTACAGCAGTGACAGGAAAGACAAGCTTTTGATGAAATATGAACACTGTCCCGAAGCACCTGTGACTGGTTAATTGCCCACTTGACCTGAGAAACACCAAGGAAATCAAAGCATTTTCCTATCACACAGAAAAGTGCAGAAACACGTAGAGCACTTTGTGGGGGCAACCGTGGTCCTGTTTCTTGATTTTGATGAGGGTTCAAGGTTGTCACTTTCCTTCACTTGATGCGTAAACGCTTCCCTCTCTCTCCCTTCCCTCCCTGCCTCCCTCACTGTCCCTTTCTTCCTCTTTCTCTCACCCACACACAAGAAAAAAGAGAACTGAAAACAGGGAGCTTTAAAGCAGGTGTTTATCCATCCACCCTCCGCGATTCGCCTAAGCTTTCTTAGCAAAGCTCTCCTGGAAAACCTGTGTGTCCAGAAAGCAGCGTTGTGCCTGCAGCACCCTACCTGCCTTGCTGCACGCCACACTGCCGATTTTTGCCACTTAACACGACCAAGAAGAGGCCGGCTTTTTCCATAAAGCCTTGAGTAGTGAGCCAGCAGCCAGACAGACTGCCTCTCTGTGCATCACTAAACTTGTATATTGCATATGCTGTGCTGTTCTTGGATTCAGTGGAGCACACACACACACACACACTTCAAACCCCCACATATGCTCTACAGTTCATTTATAATGTGAAATCTAAGGCTCAGAAAATACAGACAAGGTTTACAAATACCTGATTCAAGTTAGTTAACATTTCAATCCATACTGATTAGACGCTCAGAAACCTTGGAATGCCAGGCACTGTGATGCACATCTGCAATGTTGGCATTTGGGAGGCTGAGACAGAAAGATTGCTACAAGCTCACGGCTAACCTGAGCTACACAGTGAGTTCAAAGCCAGCTGGAACTACTTATCAAGACCCTGTCTCCAACAACAAATGTTTTAAAAAATCTTGAAATAGCTTTAGGTTATAACTATGGCAGGATGATGTCAGTGAGGCTATACACTTCAGTTATATTGCACCAACATCATCAATATTGCAAAACCAAAATAAGGGGGAAAAGCCAGGAGTACTAGGCTCTCAGTGTGACTACACACACACACACACACACACACACACACACACACCCTTCTGAGGCTTTGTTAGGAGCAGTTTTCTGTTCACAACAAGTTTGAGGGGAAGTCACAAAGATTTCCCATTACTCCCTGCCCACACATGCACAGCCTTCCCCATTCCCCACAGCCCTCACCAGAGAGACGCGGTTGTTACAGCTGATGAACCTACACGGCCACGTCATTACTAGCCGAAGCCCACAGCTGTGTGAGGCTCCACTCTTGGCACTGTTTTACTGGAAGAATTTGGACAGATGCACTATCATAGTATGTGGGAGCACCATCATGGATCGTACAGAGAATTTTCACTGCCCTAAAAATTCTCTATGCCCTAATATTCATCCCTCCTCCTTCCTAACCCCCAGCAACTCCCGATTTTATGTCTCCGGTTTTGCCTTCTCTAAAATGTCATATAGTGAGAATGATACAGTATGTAGCCTTTTCAGATTGGCTTCCTTCACTTGGTAGTATGTGCTTAAGTTGCCCTGTAACTTTTATGGCTTAATAGCGCCTTTCTTTTTAGAGAGGAATAACATTACATTATGTGGATGTAGCACAGTTTCGCTTGGCCATTTACCTACTGAAGAACACCCTGCTTGCTTCCAAGTGTTGGCAATTGTTAATAAAGTTGCTGTAAATATCCACTTGAGGTATTTGTATAGACATAAGATTTCAGCTCCATTTGGAAGATACTAAGGAATGAAATTGCCAGATCATACTTTAAGTGTGTTTAATTTCTTTTTTTTTTTTTTTTTTTCTTTTTTTGGTACCAGGAATTGAACTTACAACCGCGAGCTTGCAAGGCAGGTGCTTATATCACTGAGCTAAATCCCCAGCCCAAGTGTTTAATTTCATAAAAACTGAGAAACTCTGTTTAATATGGCTGCTTCACCTTGCATTCCCACTAGCATTGAGTGAGAGCCCCTGCTGCCCCATGGCCTCCTTGCCAGCGCTGGCATTCTCCATGACTTTGTTTCTAACAGGTGTGTTTAGTGTCTCAGTGTTTGGTCAGTTTGTGTTTCCCTGATGACACCTGATGTGGAGCATCATATGTTCATTTACCATCTCTGTATCTTCTTAAATTGAGTTATGGTTGAGCATTAGCAGTTCTTTATATATTTTGGAGAATTATCCTTTATCTGATATGTCTCTTGCAACTACTTCCTCCCAACCTATAGCAGAACAAAATCTTTTAGCTTTCAAGTCCAATTATCAATTCTTTCTTTTAAGGATTGTGCTGCCTTTAGTGCCATACCTACCAAGTCATCACCAAACCCTACATCATTTAGATTTTCTCTTTCCGTCTAAGCCAGTGGTGGCAAAACCACGGCACGTTGCCACTGTGTGCTATTTGTATCACTGAACGCTCTAAAAGGTTCCCCGTGTCTGTTCTCAGAGATCTACAGTTTTGCATTTTGGACTTAGGTCTGTGATACATTTAGGGGGTTAATTATTGTGAAGAGTTTAAGATCTGTGTTTAGAATTGTCAGAGGGCTGTGGATGTCCGGCTATTCTATCACCATTTGTTGAAAAGACTAGTAGTGTTTGCACTGTATTAGCTTTGTATCTTGTCTGAGAATAGTCAGTCTATTTCTGTGGAATTATTTATAGGGGAAGTCACATTGATCAACTTGTCAGTTCCACACTGCCTTGATTACTGAAGTCAGTTAGGCAACATAGTCTTTCTGCTGTTTTCCTCCAACGTTGTGTGGCTTATGCTGGGTCTTTTGCCTCTTCACAGTCAGCATGTTAATATCCACAAGTGAACTTGCTGATATTTGTACTAGGATTGCATCAAATCTGAAGATCACAGTGAGAAAAATATATGTCTTGACAATAACTTATCTTCCTATTTATAAACATGGAAATATGGAAAATCTCTCCTTTATTTAATTCTCTGATTTCCTTCATACAGAGTTTTGTAGTTTTCCTCATACAGATCATATATATATATATATAATATATATATGATTTATATATAAATATTTCACTTTGAGAAATGCTAATGTAAACGTCATTGTGTGTGCATGTGTATGTGTATGTTTAATTCCACTAGCAATATTTTATTTCATGATGCAAATAATCCTCTTGTCATGAGTTTTGACATATATACAGTATGAGAAGAGAGAGAGGCAGATTCATTTCGCCTAAACTCACAATTTTTAGACAGATGTTTGGTCTACAGAAGAAAAAGCAAGTCAAAGTCATGTGATGCTGGGAATTGAACCCAAGGTCTTTGCATTGAGTTACATCCCTGCCCCTTTTTAAATTTTTCATTTGCAGGCAGGGTATTGCTAAGTTGCTAATTGCCTGGGCTGGGCTTGAGTTCGAGATTCTCCTCCTTCAGCGTCTCAAAGTGCTGAGACTGCAGGTATGCACCACCACGCCCAGCCTAATTTTTTCTTTTCTTTTCTTTCTCCATCCCTTGTAACCTCTTTCCCTCTTCCCTTCTTTTGTTGTGGTACTGATGATTGAACCTAGGAGTTTTGCACTAAGCACCAGGCCTGTTTAATTTTCCTGAGAAACAGGGTCTTTCTAAGTTACTACATTGTCCAGAAGGGGCTCAAACTTTTGATCCTCCTGCCTCTGCCTCCCACAGTGGTGGGATTACAGGATTATACCACCATGCTCAGCTCAGAACTGCTGTCTGTATCTTTGAGTTCCTGTGGTCTGAATGAAAGCCTACTTGTATTTTTGTTTTGTTTTGGCATTTATCCTAAATGGATGTCTCTGAGCTTCCTGAGCCTATGGCTTGGTATTTGAC